TTTCGGCACACCCTCATACGCTGGTGGCCCCTTGGGGGCTCAACCGAAGGCCTCACTAGCCCCGGCCGCGTGGGGTATCCAACTCCGTATCCGCACACCCCTTATCCCACCGACTGCCTCTTCGAAGGCGCCCGTATTGCGGCGCCGCTTCATGTTGGCACATCCGTCACACGTGTCGAGGTCCCGCGGGAAACCCCACCCTGGACCTCAAAAAGGTGGTCCGTACGGCGCCGCCACTTCATTTCTGCACGCCATTTACAAGGACCGTGGTCCCCCTAAGGAGTGTGACTTGCGGCCCCACTGGGCGCCGCCACGGCGGCACCGTTCATTATGGTGGACTTTTCACGAGGACGAGGACCTTGGCCCTATAGGGATCTCCGCCTACGGCCCCAGCAGGAAGATCCGTATGGCTGCATCGCCAATGTCAGTGCACTTTTCACGGAAACCGTTAGCTCATATTTTATATTATGGGACCTCTTTGTGCATCCTCATCGGGAGGGTCCGCATGGCGGCGCCGCCAAATTCGGTACACCTTTCATTCTGATCGTGACCCCGTAGGTAGCTCCACCTACGGCCTCGGTGGGAGGGTCCGTATGGCGGCGCCTGGCATGTCGGCGCACCCTTCACAAAGATCGTGGCCCCATGTGGGAGCTCCACGTACGGCCTGACTGGGAACCTGTACATTACTACTTCCGCCCGTTTCGGCACAATCTCTCAGGAACCCCACCTACGGCTCCAGTTGGAAATTGTGCGTTCGTTTCCCCGCACATTTCGGCGTAACTTCAAACGTTCCTTGCTCGGTTCGGGGCCTTTCATACGGCCCCAGTTCGGTCAGGTTGCATGCGTTTCCCCATCCACATCGGCACATCCTTCATATGGGCAGTGCATGGAGAGGTTTACCACCAACGTTGATTAAAACTGCTGAGGTTTGGTCCCTCGGGAACGAACTCGTTCTGTGGGCGCTTGGATTGGCGGGGAGGAGTCGAACTGGCTCCCCCCCTGAGTTGCAGATGGGGGGAGTTCGAACTGCCCCCCTCCCCCGTCCCCCCCTCCCCTTCTGAATTGCAGAGGGGTGTTGTTACACAAGGGGGGAGGGTGCCCAGTTCCACCCCCCCCCCCCCTTGGAGGGAGGAGGGCCCTTGGAGGGGCTGATGTCCTGCCTCCCCCCCTCCCGAACCCCCCTCCCGTTTCGCCGGGCGCCCCACACGTTTCTTACGGGCCCCCGCCCCTTCGCGTTCTCTCGTGCCTCGCCAGGTTGTCTTTTTGGAGCGCAATGCCGTCTCTTGGAATGTTTTCGAGATCAGACTTAGGAGCACCCCTTGCACGGGGTGGTGGTGTGTATCCAGCTGCTTGCGGCAAGTCCCGCCATCGTGCCAGCCCAGCAGTGGCGATTCTTCGAGGGGTCGCTGGAGGCAATCACGCATGCCAGCTCTGGCCCCCAAGCTTCCCGATTGGTGACGATGATGATAATGATGTTGATGCTGATGCTGATGCTGATGCTGATGCTGATGTTGCTGCTGATGATGATGGTGATGATGATGCTGCTGATGATGATGATGGTTATGATGGCGTTATGATTATGTGATGAGGATTTCGATTACGATGACTTTGCTGATGGAGCTGATGATGGTGGTGGTGATGACGATGATCATGATGATGCTGATGATAATGATAACGATTATGATGATATTGATGATGGTGATGCTGAGCGTGATATAGTGATGCGATGACGGGAAATGATGATGCCGCTGACGAGGACGATGATGCTGATGATGATGATGGTATTGATGATGTTGACGATGATGCAAGGATGATATGATGTGATGATTGTGATGGTGATTAGGATGAGGATGACGATGACGATGGCGATGGCTATGACGACGATGATGATGATACTGGTGATGATGATGGTGGTGGGGATGCTGATGATGATGCTGATGCGGGTGCTGATGCTGATGATGCTGATGATGACGCTGATGAGGATGATGATGATGATGACGATGATGATGATGCTGATGCTGACGATGATGATGACGACCATACTGATGGTGCTGATGATAATGATGATGATGATGGCAATGATGATGATCATGAGGATGAGGATGAGGATGCTGATGAGGATGACGATGCTGATGATGATGTTGATGCTGATTATGATGCGGCTGCTGCTGATGATGATGGTGACGATGATGATGATGATGATGATGATGATGATGATGATGATGATGATGATGATGATGATGATGATGAGGATGATGATGATGACGATGTAGATGAGACGATGATGATGATGATGCTGATTAGGATGACGATGATGTTGATGCTGCTGCTGTTGATGCTGAAGATGATGGTGATGCTGATGCTGATTTTGATGATGGTGATCCTGATTATGCTTATGATGATAATGATGATTATGATGATGCTGCTGATGCTGATGTTGATGCTGATACTGCTGCTGCTGCTGATGATGATGATGCTGCTTGTGATGCTGATGATGCTGATGATGATGATGATGATGATGATGATGATGCTGCTGATGCTGATGATGATGCTGCTGCTGCTGATGATGATGATGATGATGATGATGATGATGTTGATGACGACGAGAAGGAACAGGATGATGAGGAGGAACAATGCCATCACACGTGCCGCCTTTCGTGTTCACTTTTTGAGGAGCTCTCGTGAAGCCGTCGTGGGGTTGTCCTGGGGCTCTTGTGGGGCAACATTGGAGTTCCCTTGGGGCCGTCTTAGTGACCCCGTGGGTCGTCTTGGAGCTCTCTTGTATCTTTGTTCGTGCCGTCTTGGGGCCGTCCGGCATAGAGGCCGCTTGGGCCAACATTGGGACCTCCTTGGGGGCCTCTTGGGCCGTCGTAAAGCCATTTTGGAAGCTCATTGAGCCGCCTCGAGCTCACTTATGCCGAGCATGCGAGAACGCGAACATCTTCCAAACAACCTTGCAACATCAATGATTTGGGCATCTTCGGGGCGTACTCATGATGCTCATGTGCTTTTTGGGGGCCTCGTGGATGCATCCTGTTGAGGCCCCCAGGTGCAGCCTTCGGGCCATCTTGGGCGGTCGTTAGGGCATTTTGTTTATCATCTCGGCGGCTGTGGTTTCCTGCCTCGGCCGTCTTGGGCGCTCGGGAGCGGGGGTTCGTAGTTGTCTTGCGCGGTTGCCGTGGCCTCGGGAGCGCGGGCCGAACGTGTCTGCCATGGGCTCGTGGTGCCGGGAGGGCGGTGGTGCGCGCACAGGTCTGCTGGCGGAGGAGGCGTGTCTCCCAGAGCAGTATTGTCCGAGCGTTTTCTTTGGGTGGAGGGCAAAGGGTGAAAGCTGAGATGCCGTCTCGATGGATTTTCGAGGCTTGAGTCTGCAAAAGGTGAATCACAAGACGGATTGATTTTCGAGGTGCAAAAGCCAATATGGATTCCACCCTGAGGCCTTCACCCCAAGAAAATGCTCAGATTTGTACCCTGCCAGACAGCAGCTGGCATTCTGCCACGCCTCGAGGTGCCAAGGGGCGCGGTGGCGGAAAGCGCTTCGCCATGTGTGGGCGCCGCCCCGCTTGGGCGGCTGCCACGGCCTCCGCTGCCACGGCTGGCCGCCCCGGCCTGCTCGACGCGGAAGTCTTCCGCGTCGGAGTGCTCGAGTCGGCAACACCCAAACATACTTATACTACATGTGCGTCGCCCCCCCAGGGGCGACGCGCGCACCGAGAAATCTTATAGTATATGCGTCGTGGCGGGTGCTTCCTGGCCACACCGCTCGGGAAACGATATACTACAAGATGGGTATACTATATGTTCGGGTCGGACGCGCGCCTCCAAGGAGGACATATAGTATTAGTATGTCCATGTGCGTCCCATGCTCCTCCGGCCCCCGTCCTCTGCGCGGCCGCCCCGGCCTCTTTCCCTTTAGCATTGGTGTTTAGCACTGGCTTTGATCATTGGCTTTTCGCATTGGCTTTTAGCGCTGGTTTTTAGCATTGGCTTTGAGCACTGGCTTTTTAGCATTGGCTTTTAGCATTGGGTTTTGGCATCGGGTTTTAGCATTGGATTGTAGCCCCTTGCCGGGGTTTCCGTAGGCCAATCAGCCATTCGGCTGCCCCGCATCGCCAGTCACTGGCGCGGACCGCCTCTGCCTCGCCGCCGACGGAGAAAGTGTGGACCGCCCTTTCTGGTGGATGGGTTGATCTGAGGTTCCAGATCGTTGCTGCCCCTGGTCTGCTGGGCAGCATGGTGTGCACCCAGCGGTTCTAATACTGGCAGGTTGGATTAACCGTTCTATCAGAGTTTCAGAATTTTCAGTCGTGTCGGCTTGTCGTACTCTCCTCATTTGCATTATGGTTCCGCTTGGCTGCAAAAGTTCGGGCAAACTGGTCGTGAAGGGCTGGGTCAAACGCCACGCGTAAGTATTAAAACCGCAGCCTGCGCCCCACCGACGACGATTTTGTTCGACATTCGCGCTCAGGCTTCAAGGCGATATTGGTGGTGGAAAAGGGATCCCCCACGGAATCTTGACATAACCCAAGCAGACAATCAGCACACATTGTGACACGCTCCAGCTTGTCGAGTGCATGGTGGCGGATTGTACTTTAGCAGGGGCTGTTGCCTCGGGCACGAGGGCCCGTATGGTTTGTCATGAACGACCGTGGCGGTGTGCTCAGGACCTATGGTTTTTAAACGATGGATCGTGATCCATAGATTGAGGTTGCGTTTTTATGTGCTCTTGGGCATTCATTCGCGGGCTGAAGGAACATCGTCGGGGGCTTAAAACTTGGTTCAGGGCCCCCGGGCCGCGCGTTCTGCAACAAGAAATTCAACATCGAAGCTTCCTGCGATGTCTCCAGCTCCCTGCATTTCTGGGACTCCTGAGCTCATGCAGGCCACACGTGCGGTCCGTGCGCCACGGGAGCGCTGCACGCGGGGCAGCGTGCTGCCCGAAAAGTTCAACCAGGGCCCCTCCGTAGCAGCCTTGCCTCAGGTCCCCCGCGGCGGCCACCATGGGCCAGGGCTGGCCGCCTGCGTGCTGGCGGCGGCATGCACACATCCTGCCGGACACTGTAGCAGCCCAGGGCGCGTGGTGGCTTAAAGGCCGCCCCCCGCGCAGCCATCCGCGGGCGAAAACCATTATCCGTACCCGCGGCCTCGCGGGCCGGGCCCCATTGGCCGCGCCACCGCGGGCACGTGGCGCTCCTTCGCGGGCGCCCCGCGCGGAACGTGTCCGTGCGACCGCGTATCCGCGGGATCGTGGGGGTGCGGGCATGGACACATTCGCCGCTCGTGAGCCATGGGCGCCTCTGCCGTCTGCGGCGCGCCGCGCGGCGCCCGTCCCTGGCTCGCGGCCCTCGCCCTCTGGGCCGCCTCGCCGAGGCGTGTGGCCGCCTGGGACTACGGCCAGGCGGGCCGCGACTGGAGAGGGGGCTTCTGCGAGGGCGGCAGCGGTGCATCAGCGCAGAGCCCCATCGATCTCCCGACGGCGGCGCCGGTCACGGCGGAGCGGAAGCTCTTCCTCAAGTATCCCGTCCTGGAGAGGTCGCTGTCCCTCTACAACGACGGGCGCTCGCTGGCGATCACCATGCCCGAGGAGTACCGCGCCGGCTTCGGCCTGGCTGCCGCCCCGGAGGCGCTGACCCACTCGGCGTCCACGGAGGCAGCCTTCCGGCTGTGGCAGGTGAACCTCCACGCGCCCGCCGAGCATACCATCGGCGGCCGTCGGGCCCCGCTGGAGGTGCAGCTCGTGCACCAGCAGGTCACGGGAAATCGCACGGGCCAGCTGGCCGTGGTGTCTGTCCTCTTCCACGAGGATCGGGATCCCGCAAAGGGTGTGTGTACCCTGGTGTGCGTGCGTGTGTGTGTGTGTGTGTGTGTGTGTGTGTGTGTGTGTGTCTGTGTGTGTGTGTGTGTTTGTGTGTGTCTGCGTGTCTGTGTGTGTGTGTGTCTGTGTGTCTGTGTGTCTGTGTGTCTGTGTGTGAGAGAGAGAGGGAAAGAGAGAGAGAGAGAGAGAAAAAAACTCGATCGGTTTTTGCACCCCACCGCCCAAACAGATGCCACCCCAGCCGCCGGCAGCTCCCGACAATTTCCGATGGGTGAGACATGCGGGGGGCATCTGTTTGCGGCAGTTCGGTGCACCAGCGGATCGAACTTGTGGTCCCCCTTGAGGGCCCATCCCCCCCCTTCGGGTGGATCCCGAGAGGAGCCAGGCGCAAGCAGCCCTTTCCTGGAGCGCCTGATGGCCAGCGGCCTGCCGCAGGAGCCGTGGGCCGAGGTGCAGATCGACCTCGGGATCGGAGCCGCGGCGCCCACCAGTGCCAACAACAGCTTCTCCACAACGCAGGAGGCCACGAGCGAGAAGTCGGCCCTGCAGAGGCTGCTGATCGGCTCTGCCTACTATCTAAATGGCCTTCGGCCCAAACCGCCACCGTGCTTGGGTTGCGGGTGTGAAGCCTACTGGACGTTCGTTGGGACCTCGTGCGAGGCCTCAAAATCCTTCACAAGCCTAAGGAACATGGCTGACTTTTGCCTCTTGGGGCCCTCTTGGGAGGCCTCTTCGATGCCTCTTGGGGCGTCTTGGAGGCCTCTTGGGCCATCTGCGGGTTGGGGCGATCTTTCGGCGTCTCGGGGCCCTCTTGAGGGCCTCGAGTGGCCCTCTTGGCCCGTCCTGAGGCCCTCTTGGACCCGACAAAGTCATGCGAAAAGATGCCAGAAGCCCCAGGGGGCACGCGAGAAGCCCCGGGAGATTTGAGAGCGAGGGGTCAGGTCCTTTGCAGAATCCTCAGGAGTGCGGAGTGAGGCTCAGAGGATTCGGCAGAGGACCTGAGGACGCGCCCATGGTGCCAAGGGGCACGGTGGCGGATGCCTACGAGGGCTCCCTGACAGTGCCCCCCTGTGAGCCGGGGGTGCGATACTTCGTCAGGCGGGACACCACGCCAGCATCGGAGGCCCAGCTGCAGTCCCTGTCCGACGTGCTGCGGGCCACATGCCCTCCCCGAGGGAACTACCGTGACATCCCCATGCGTACCACTGCGGCCAGCATGGTGGGCCTAGGCCTTGCCGTGGATTGGTTCGACAGGTCCAGCGAGGATTCGGCCGTGCCGAGCGAGCTCCCATCGTGGGAGTCTGGTCAGCGCCTGCCCGAGTCCAAGATCGACTACTTGCGGCGAACTGTCATCGAAGCCACCGACTCCAGCTTCGACGAGCTTCTTGCGGGAGACTCCCTGGAGGTGCGCGAGGCAAAGACTGCGTACAGCATGGCAACGCTCGATTACAGGGTCGCCATGCAGGAGGAGACGGAGGCCAGGCAGAACTTGATCAATGCGAAAGAGGGTCTCGCGAATGCCCACGGACCTGTCGATGCCCTCCACTTCAACTGGCAGGTGGCCGACTGCGAGGACGAGCTGACGCAGGCCACGCGCCGGAAGGACGTCAAACAGAAGGCGGTGATCGAGGCAAGCTCGCAGGCGCTCGCCATTGTGGCGGCCCTCGGTCACCACGCGAGTGGCCAGCACCCTCTCGAGCGAGGTCTTGACTGGACCACCCCGCTGCCGTTCCGCTCGGCCGCCGAGGAGTTGACCACGACCGTGGCGGCAGACGCCGATGGCTTCCTGTGGAGGAAGACGACCAGCCCAGAGCAGGCGTTAGGGGCAATGTTAGGCGGGGTAGGCTCAGGGGGGTGTACGTCGACCCCCAATCGCCCAGTGATCGATACGTGCCCGATATCCCACCCCGCCCAGGCACGTGCGGGTTGGCTATCGGGGGCGCATCGCCGATCTGCCGGCGATGTCTTGCCGATTCCTTATCGATGTTCCCCCCTGGAGCCCGTCCCCTGGGTGTTTTCGGTCATAACTCGGGCCTCCGGCGGCCGTTCGGGACGATCTGGGTCCCCCAGAACGCTCTCGGCGAGGCGCAGTTGCTTGAAGGCACCCCGAGGTTGGGAAGCCACCGAGAAGCGATGGATGTCCGAGAACCTCGAGCCTTGATCCGCTCTGCCCCCCGCAATCGACCCTGAGCCGGTCCCCCCCCTAACGTCCCCCTCAAGGTGGCGCAGCGCGGGGGGCTGGTGTTTCCGGTGGGCCTGGCGGCGAGCCCGTTCACGGAGCAGGCGCCGCGGAGGGTGTCCCCAGGTTTCCGCTCCATCTTGGAGCCCTTGGGAGTTGTTTTTTATACTCTCTGGGTCATGACGCGCGTTGTGCCTCCCCCCTCCCCCCCCTCCATGACGTAACGCTCCCCGCCTCTCCCAGTGCGTCCCCGGCACTAACGCAGAGCGTTCAGCACTACAGTCTGTGGTGCCGGACCCACACGGCGGAAGGGGGGGGGGCATTACGTTATGCACCCCCCCGCTCTCCCCTCCCCCCTCCATAACGCCCGTGATCGCCGCGAGTGGAAAAATGCTCTCCGGGACTCACGGGGCCTCGTGGTGGGGTGCTCCCCTGTGGGCCTAGGGTCCCAGACCCACCCAGAGACCCAAAAGCTCAATATAATTGAGCTTTCAAGTTTCGGGCAATATCGAAAAGAGCTTTTTATGTCGATTTGAGCTTTTTTTTATGTGAATTGAGATTTTATCGTTTTTGTGTTGTTTTCATAAACATTTACTCATTATCATGTGGCTTGATATCAGATCCGCTACCATGTCAAGCACGCGCTTACGTTCATTACTTCGTGCCGCGTGGCGGCTACTGCCAAAAACTAAAAAGAGGATGAGGAGAGAGAGGAAAAAAACTAGATGAGGAGAAGACGGGGAGGATAGCGGGAGGACGGGGAGGAGGAGGAGGAGGAGGAGGAGGAGGAGGAATGTTTGCACCAGCCTCGAGCTCATCCAGCCTTGCCCAGGGGGCACCCGCAAGACAACATTGACCACAGGTCGGAGTTCTAGCAGATTCCTCCTACAATCGTCTTCTTCGATCCTCGTCATACCGCCGATTCTTCATCACGCCTACCGTTCTACCTCCTACCTCCTCCGATCCTCCTCGTCGATACCGTCCCACCTCTCCGTCCTCCGCTCTACCCCGATGCTCCTCGTTCTACCTCACTGGATCCCCATCTGAGTATCAATCGACACATGCATCCGCTTGACGTCCGAGGGTCAATCGTCATCCGAATGCCAATCGCCATCCGAGCGTCTTTGATCCCCATCCGAGCGTTAATCACCCTTAATCCCCATCCGAGTGTCAATACTTCATCCGAGCGTCAATCCTATCCACATACGGGGGGGGCAAGGGGAGTGGGGCGGGGAGGGGGACGGGAAGGGAGAAGGGGAGGATGAAGGGGGGGAAGGGAGGGGAGAGGGGGAGAGGAGAATGATATCTGACTCTGCATTGGGGTCACTTCTCGCCGCGGATTGCACGCAAAAATAGCATACACTATCATGCATCGTGGCGCTGAGAAATATCTGAACTTCAACCGTCAACTATCTGAAGAGCACGCGCGGTCCCACGAGAAAGGGGGGCTGGCACCCCTGATGTCCGCGCACAACAGGCAAGGTGCCATGCAGGCGGCACCCGCGTTGAGTCTGGACTACCCTCGCTTGCTGATTGAAACCTCCAGGGGGATTTCATGCTTTCTATTCTTTCCTCCTCCACTCATCCTCTTCTTCCGTTATCCTCCCACGGGTGTTGATATTCGACGAGGTCTAACTCAGCTGGACTCGGGCCAAATCTTCAAGCCCTGCATCGTGCATGCAAGCACAAGGCCGATCGTTGGGACTGCCATTGCATTTCCCAATGCGCGCATCTGGGTGCCTAGATCTCCTAAAGTATACTGCACTGCGGGATCAAAGCCCAAGAGACGAGCGCGCTCCGCAATGGTGAGAAACCTATTGAAGTTGTCCACGCCATCCTCCCTGCTGATGCCGTGCAGCCACAAGTAGCTGTTCTTGGTGGTGAGGCAGGGGACCGTGTCGTCGCCGCGGAACTGGCAGAAACAATACAAACTCAAATGCAAAGAAATCGAATGCGAATGACTGTAATTGCATTTTGTTGCGTTGAATTGCGTTGCATTTGTTGCGTTGAATTTGCTGTGCGTTGCCTTTGTGCAAAGCCCCGAACTATAGCTTGCAAAAAGTCTGCCCCCTCCCTGCTTGCAGTATCCTCCGAACGCGCCTTCCCGCCGGGAGCTCTAGGGGGGGTACGTGGAGTTTGCGTGGATATTGCGTGGAGTTTGCGTGGAGTTTGCGTGGAGTTTGCGTGGAGTGTGCGTGGAGTTTGCGTGGGTTGCGAAACGGTTGCGTCCTGCATAGGTCGATGTGCACATGTGCTTTCTGTCCTCTACATGCCATGCGCCTGCCATCAGCTATCGCCGCAATCGATCCCCCCCGCACTTGCACGAATCACATTCCCAGACTAATCTCTGCTCGTGGATATCCGTGCTTCTCCCAAATGCGGTCCTGGACCGCCCTAACTTTGTTAGGACTCCTGCTCAGGTCGAAGACGAAAACGATGTTGTGGTGACCAGCGTCGTGGCAGTTCTTGGTTGCTTCGGTAACCTGCTCGCGGTACCACTTCAGGGTCGATAGCTGAAGGTTTATGTTATATATATATGTTCATGTACATACACGTGTTTATACATGAAGGGGGCGGTAGGAGGATTAGAAGGATGATATTCGAGATTGACGGCGATTATGTGCCAGCCCTCGGCTCATGCCGCCACCCGAACAATAGCGCGAGTAACATATTCGATTGTCGATCCAACTCCAAGTGGCATCACACAGAGTTGCCCTTCCGAAACACGCGAAGCAATTCTAATGCACAACTCCGAGGGGCGGGCCCCGATCGCAGTCGTCACGAGCTTGACCCTAAGTCACATCGCAGCGGTTGAAAAACATGAAAGCAAGCCTGCAGCTCTGTCAAGCTCGCCTCCTCCACTTCGGGCAGGCCAATGGTGAGAAACTCGCGAAGTTCAGGTAGCCCGAACTTGTAGTCGGTCGGGGAATGCTTGGGCATGGGCGCCTCGAAGAAGTCACTGCACCGCCCGCATATGAAAATCCTGGGAATCGCGGGAAGCACCATACAATAAAAGTGGGAGCGGAGCGGGTGAGGCAGGACGGGAGAGGGGCGGTGGATAGGGAAGAAGGGAGGGGAAGATTTGGAAGGAGGAGTTCGGCCCCAGTCGTGCCACTGAGAAGCGTGGAATACTTAAGAACGACAAGGTGCAATCGAGAATGCATGGTGGCGAGCTGGAACTTTGCTAGTGGGGCGGGGTGCAGAGGATGGGAGCGATGGCATGGAACTCACAGGCATGAAACACCAAAACTATCACAAATAGTGGGGTCCTCTGCCTCTGGTGAGGAAGACCCTGGTCCACCGCGTTGCATTCCCAGTGCCACACGCGCCATGTAGCTGGAAGCTTCTCAACCAAATAGTTTATTACATCATGGAGCGGCGAACCATTTCCCCTCGAAGTCGAGATCCCCTTCACGTTTTCGATCACAAATATCTTCAGGTCCGAGTCGATGCGCAAAGCTTGCTGTACAATGATTTTCAGAACAGCGACGAACGGAAGGGCGCGTGAATCGCTCCAGTCCCCCTGCGAACCAGCCGAAGAAAACGGAGGACAAGGAGGGCCAGAGCAGATGCAATCCACGGGAGGAAAATATTCTGGCAATATGTCAACGAAGTTGCCTTTCTCCTCCCCGATGAACGCGAACTTGGTGTCCCCGCCGTGGACAGAGTGCACTTGGTCTGCTAACTTCGGGTCGATGTCATAGCATATCGAACGAGATTTTATACCCATCTGCTTGAAACATAAATAAGGGGTTTCCATTCCACAACATGGGCTCAGCATTCTGAGCAGCTTCTTGGAGTCTACGCCTTTTCCAATGATTTCCCGCCCCAGGACATACCATGGCACTTCTACGGGGATCTTACCCACCACTGCAGGCATGTTTACAAACACTCTTGATCCAACTGAATCTGGAGGCTAGGGGGAGGATGGTAAACCGAAGATGCCAACACCCCGAATACGCGACATCGTCAGCAAGGGTTCCCGGGGCCTCCTGGGGGCTCCTGCAATCGAGCATCATGAAGGACCATACTTATAATAGGGTTATCCTGGGCGTAGTAAGGAGGGCGACGAACTGTTTTCAACTTTGCCACACTTGCTAACATCCTGCGCACGGCTGCCATCGCCCCAGCCGCGCTGCGCCGTCGGGCGGATAAAAACTCGCACTTATGTGCGTCGGGGGGCCAAGCATGGGGCCCGAAGAACTTGCCCCCCCCAGGGCGCAACTTGTTCCCCACTGAGTATTCCCTTTGCCCCACGCCTACTCTCCTCCCTTCGTCCCGTCACCCCCTCTCCCCCTACCCTCCCACCCATCGTGCATGTCCTCCTCCTCACCCGCATCACATGCCGCGGTGCATTCAAAGGAATGCGAACACTGAATTAGGGATGAACGGGAGCAGCCTGACCCTACAGAAAATCGAACGCTCCCAGGTGGACCTGTGACTAGAGGAAGCTATATTCGCGATCGCTAAATTAAGCGATTCGTCAAGGAAACAACTATAGGTTTTGGGGTTCCCTGCCCATCGGATGCGGAGCGTTAAATGCACCCAAATGTGGTGCTTGGGGATCAACTCTATGTGTGTCATCTTAGCCAACTCGATGTGCCTTAAACACAAATCTAACATTTTCTGGCACGTGTTGATCGGAACATTCCGAGGGCTCTTCCTCATAGTATCCATATACTCGATAAGTGCCAATCCAGCGTCTTCCAATATGTGACCATGTTCCATTTGATTACGAAACGTGCCGCATAACTGAGTTGCCCAAGGGAGAAGTGCTCCTGTCTCCGCTGCCTTTGTTTTTAAAGTGCGTTTGGTATCAGACCCAAGCATTCCAGGTGTCAGATTCTGGACTAGTCTTGACGACTCTGTCGTCGGGTCTGCTCTCCCCCATTCTTTAATATTGTTTAAGATATATTGTACGCCAATATCAATAATAGTCTTGCGAGGCCCCCGAACTCCCCATACGTTGCTGTCCAACGTTGCCCACATTACAGCCGAGACATATTGAAGCACGACGCCCAGGTAGACGCAATGCAAAAGATCTACCATCATTACTGATTGGGGGGTAATTCCAAGGGCTGCACAGAAAAGCGGGTTCCGTCTG